CTAATGTTATCAGCTGTGTGACGGTGCACGACTCGGACTCCTCTACGGCCAGCCCCCTGACTCCTCTGCCCCGCACACTTAACCCCGCTAGCACCATGTCATCACGCCAAGTCAAGTCTCTGGCAGTGGTGGCACCTTCAGTCAAAACCCAGGGCTCTGAGAGAGGAGCAGCTTCACGTGGACGCTTAGAGACTGGTGAGGGTCGATCGTGTGCCTTTATTTGTGTGCGATCAGTAGTTTTTATTTTGGGTGAAAAAGCAGCATAGTTTAATACATACAACTTTTTATCCCCAGTGAACTACATGAAGCCTAAGAGATCCAGCCGACAGCCATGCAGTTCAGGGGAGAGCATTGAGCGTCATGGACTGGTGCCAAGCCAGTCACACCCCCTGAACCTCAGCCAGGTGAGATTGTGTTTGTGTTGGTTGTTTTGCCAAGTCAGACATGGCCGTAATAAACTTTTATCTGCATTTCCGTTACATGTTTTGTAATAAGGTGTCACTGTGATAAATATACCAAGAAGTCTGTACCCTATTCCATCACGTGGCTACTACGAAGATAAACATGAGTGAGAATATCAGCTATAAGAGTTTATGCAGTAGACAAGCTGTTGTGAGCAACATGTGACAACAAATAGAGCTCCAACAAGGTTAAACATTCTTGTCCAAACTGCAGGTGGTCTGGTCAAAGAACTGCACTTTTTTATTGTGTTAGGGGGTACAGTCTGGAAATTATGTCGCAGACACTGATAAACATCAGTCATAAGTTGCAAAAGACATTTGTTTTTACCCTTATACACACACAAACATTTACGACAGGGACTCATAAAATCTCGTCAAGAAAGAGTGACTGTCACAGATATTTACTCTGGCAGAATATTGTACAGCAGAAAAATAAACTTTTTTTCATGTGTTTTAAAGAGAGTCCAAAGTGCTATCTGCTGGACAAACAATGTAATGACAGATAAGAGTTTGTGAATGACCTGAAACAAATTTCAGCATTTATGTCCTGCAGTTTATTTTTTGTAAATCTGCCAGCGATGTGTCCATAGCAATATATCTGTGCAAAAACAATTCCTGTTTAAAATATTGGCTCAAAACAGGGGCTCATGTTAAACGTCTACTTATGCAGTGGTTCCCAAAATGAGGGATGAGACCAAGTCAAGTGATTGAGAGGATAGCAAAGGGAAAAAAACAACACCTCTGCTGCATACAATAATCTTCAATCTTCGACTTTTCCTCCTCCTTCATTCTTGTTTTTTTTTTTTTTTTTTTTTTAGTGTAGCGTTTTACCTCTTTAGTGATCCTATAAACTATAAACTAAAGGAATCTGAGGAGGAAACTGTTTTGATGTTTAACCACCCACAACTAGTATTTACAACATGGGATTATGTGCAGCGGGGATATAAACAGTCACAAGACAAAAAGGTTGGCAACTAGTGTATTGATGTGTGAAAGCACAGGCTGCTTCAACTTTTTAAATGTCAGTAACCTGCTGGTGGGATGAGTACAAATAAAATCCTGTGCATTCAAACTTTGCTCAAACCCACAGAGCTTAATTTTAAGTCTAGTGGAACTCCCAAAGGTAACATTTATATTAGGCTCAGTTTTGTCTAAAATGTTGCATAAAACATGTAGAACATGTAGATTTGAGAAAGTGCTGCCATAACAAACATGTAGTCAAGGGTTTGAAAATTCCTCTCATTATAAACATCATATTGTTTCCGAGAAGAGCTGGAACACATCGATACTGAATCTGTACTGTTCTGTTGGACAGAGGGGAATGTGTTTCCTTGTCAAGTGTTGCAATTATTTTGTTTTCCACCTGTAGGTTACAACAAAGGTAGATTCTAAATGTTTATAGTCACCTCACCAAAACTATCTGTGATTTCCTGCCTTCTCATTGCTGCATGTATAATTAAGTGTTATTTCTCTTTAGGTTCAGCCGGTGGTTTCTTCATCTCAGGAGCGTTCGGGGGCGTCCAACAGTGACTCTTCTCTGCGTCGCCAGCAGACGTTCCCTCCGGCCGTCTCAGCCTCTCACTACAACTTCCCCGAGGTCTCCGCCCTGACGTCAGCCTCAGCCCCCGGCCCCAGTCTGTACTCCTACCCAGCCTCCACCGCCCTCTCCTCAGCTTCTCAGGCCATGGAGCAGCTGCTGGGCCGTGGTCACAGCAGCCACGGTCACTCCCCCTCCGCCTATGCAGCAACATACACCTCATCCTCTTCCTCCAGGAGAGACTCGGCCAGTCGCAGGGATTCCGTCAGCAGTCTGCTGCACGGCCTCCCCGCAGCCTACCAGCATCAGTTCGCCACTGGTTCTCCATACGTTAGCGTGACGCCCCGGGCCGAGGCTTACAGTGCCTACCAGCTGAGCCCCAGGCGCCTCACACAGTACCCCTACCTATAGGGTGCCACACACACTTGGAACAGAGGAAAGAAAAAGTCCACTTCCCCACATACTATCACAAAGGGACATTTAAACTGTATTTCTAGTAGAATAACTGTTGGTCACTTATTTGTTGCTGCTTTTGTCCACAAGGCAGAATTTAACCTCCAACTGTGGACTGTTTTAGTGTTTTTGAAATGTTCTTTGGTATTATTTGATATTGTATCAGTTTATTTTCCCTTTTTTAAAAATATTGTTTATAGCTCATATTTTATCCCCATCTTATCCAGATGTACAATTAAGGCATTGTGGTTAATGTATTTTACACCTGTTTATCTTGAGGTTTTGTGTGAAGAGAGATTATCCTCCTGTCACAAGCTGCGACGACACTTTAGGTGAGCTTTTTAGACGCCTGACTCACAGGGCTTGTGAAGCTGACAGAGCAAGTTACAAGTCACAAGCCTTGTTACAAAGTTTTCACACTAATCCAGCGAGGCCCTGTGTTTTTAGCTGATATAATAATGACTGTACCTTACCCATGTCTCTGTTTACTCACAAATATGTCTTTTACTATGTTTAAATTATGTTGTTGTCAGTGTGAGGTAGGAAGAGGAATGTCCATGAAGATGTCGAATAAGAGAAAGGTGTGGTGAAAACTGTGATGGATACATGTTAATTTAAGTGCACATGTGATAGTCTGTTAATGTGGTGACAGTGTTTAGGCAGGATTAATCATGTCCTTTTTTTTTTAAACTGCATCAACTGAGTGCTGAATGTATTTATGAAGTACAGAGGAGTGGGATCACCATCCTGAGGAATGACGTGAAAAGGTTTTGTTTAAAATTGTTAAAATAAGAAAAAAAAAAAAGATGAATTAACCTTCTTTTCCTTACTTTCTCTCCTTGAAATATGAAAAAGCCAGTTACACATGGACCGAAAAAATATTCTATATTATCTGTGAATCCTGAGTGTGTAGGACCTGCTCATTATGAAAATGGATTTATGGCCAGTTTTTTTGTTTTGTTTAGTTTTTTTTTTTTTTTTTTGTCCCATTTTCCCCCCTCGACTTTGGAAATGCTCACTAGGAAGTTGTAACAAATAACCCACACTGCTGTACAATGACTGATGGGTATGAGAGTATGCAAACTAAATATGTTTTTCCACATGATAACTACAGTCACCGTTCATCTTTGTCTGAATTCAGACTCCAGCAGCTTCTCCTGCCACCGTCTTTAGTTAAAGGAGGTGAATCTTTGGATGGTTTCTGTGGGTTATGAAAACTTTTTTTTTTTTTTTTTTTTTTTTAAGTAATTCCTTCCCTGTTGTGTTTGCATCAGTTTTGTGTTGTAATGTCTGAAAATTTAACTGTATTTCATCTTAACATAGTATAGTTAAGAGGCTATTTGGTAGAACTAATTCAGGGAAAAAGGTTTCAGCTCAAATAATCCACTGTCACTGTTTTCAATAAAATAACCACGAATTCACAAAAAGTTCACCGTGAATTAATGATTTATTTCCTTGGTTCCTCTGAACTGAAGCTGCTGAGAAAGATTCACATCATTAGTGTTGGATGATCTTTGTTTTCCGCATAAGTCTAACTTCAAACAAGCACCATTGTTATTTCGGCAGCGGCTGATGAGAACAGACAATAAAAGCAAGATGAGAGACTCCTCAGGCCTTTTGCAGGTGACCTAAACCAAAACCAGTATTACAGTGTGTGTTTGCATACAAAACGTGTGGGAGAGTTTGCTTTATGAAGCTTTTATTACCAAAGCAGTGTCAGTCACCCATATCAATAATAAATACATATGTAAAAAAATGTCATGTATTTAAGATATTGGAAGAAAAACATTAATGCATTTATTAAATGTGAAAGACCTTAAATATTCCGGGGAATCAAACATTACACATGGAGAAACTCAAACATTTAAGAGGTGAAATGTGAAAAAATATGTGTTAAATTAGAGAAATTCTCTTAATTGTAAAACGGTTCATATTTATGGATCATATTTCTGTAAATCCAAAACTGTTAAAGTTGACACATACCGGCCTAAAGATGAAGTAACTGATGCAAAATTAGCAGACCACGACCACACACACACACACAAAGTCCAAAATACATGTTATGTGTCACATAAGTTATATTTTGTTGATATCAGTTTATACATTACATTTTTAAATTTTCATTATTAAAGTAATATAGTATTTTAGTTGGTCAAGGAAACTATTAAGGAATAATTCAGACCGTGCGTTTGCATGAAACTGAAATATTTCTGTTAAGTTTAAGTGACATTTCCACATCACACCGTTAACACATACACTTCTAACATGATTGATATCACTCTTACTTACACACCACAACGTTTTGTTAGTATTTTGGTAAATTTCAGTTCAATAAATTACTTGATTGATTGATTGATTGATTGATTGATATATCTGTGTTTGGCCTCCCTTATTGTTGCCAGCCTTGAGCCAGGTGGTAACATATTTTACGCAGCACATTTATCTATTTTAATACAAACTGTATCTACGTTTTTCTCTCAGGTTATGTCAAATAAACACTGGACACTCATCAAGAAATACTTGTGTACATCTTTTATTAAAATGCCGCCCATATCTGGCTGCTACGACATTATTCTTCATGGTCCAAATAGTAACAATTTGTTCACAGATGATGTTTATTAACTGACTCAACATGGACATTAAACACTCAATAGTTATGATTTCATTTAAATTATATAAATAAATCATAGTTAATTCATAGTCATTTTGAGGATATGAATCTGTCATGTTAATGACACTTGATTTTTTTTTTTTTACAGTTGTACCAAAATGCATGTGGGGGAAAAATGTAATATAGTTAACAAAACACTATACATATATAAATAATTTGAGAATAATTTACAATGTATTATGTAATATTTTACAAATCACAGTATCCCCTATTCCACTGAATGAAATTCTTTACATCAGATCGAGTTCTTCACACTTCAGCTTTGTAAAAAACTAAGTTTAAAAATAGATTCTCTGATATTTCACAGTTAGAGTAAAACAAACTACACAGCAGTATTTTACTACAAATTCACAGAGAACCTGCTGACTTAGAGGCAGTGCAAATTTTTCTTTTCAAGTGCATCACAAAAACACAGTACTTTAAACACCTCACACAAAACCTGAAGCTGTCCCGGTCTTGGCTCCTCACAGGCCTCCTGAGACCTCTGCTCTGTTGCGTGCTGCTTTGCTCATGCAAAACACACTTATAGTCCTACACTGCAGACTCGCTGCAGGTCCGTCAAGTTACACATGACGAGAAAGGGAGCTGTAAGTGAAACTTCTTCGGCTGTTTAAAGTGTCAGCAGCTCTCCATTGTTTGTCCTTGCAGCAGAAAACAGCTGAACATCTTTTTGAGTGTGAACTTGAAGCCAGACGGCGTTGAATCAGAGCTAACAAAAAAGAGGAGAGATTTGTTTAGATATTAGGCTTGAATAAATTATCATTAATGCTGAAGTTACATTGCAGCCACTCACAAAGAAGTCTGAAGTAACACCTCTACTTACAGCTTTGGCTTGGTGAGCTGGGTCTGTGTGTCATTCAAATGCTCCACTGATTCATCCTTCCTCCGCGGGTGATCTTCTGCAATCTGGTCCCAGATCTCCGTGTTGACCCACAGGGACCCGGGCAGGGTGAGGCTGGCCCGTGTGCAAGTAATCCAGCGGCACAGAGGGCAGGAGACTGTGCGGATAACTCCCTCCAGCTTGGACAGTTGCTCCAGGCAGGGCGCACAGAAAGTGTGGTTGCAGTGGAGGACCCGTGGGACCCGCTCACCGCGGGAGTACTCGTAGCAGCAGACAACACACTCGAGCTCTTCACTGATGAACATGGTGACCTCAGTGCAGATGTAGAGGATGATGTGGAAGATGAGTGTGTATTCCTTCACCAGACCGAGGGACAAACCTGCAGCACACAGCATGACAAGCCATGTTAATAGAGGGCACCGCATAAAATATTCAACACAGGAAAAAATGAAGTAACTAATACAATAAAAGCTCTTAAATAATCAAAAGTACCATCATCACTATAATATAAAGACCGTCTACCAGCCATGTTAGAGGAATACTTACTTGCAGGATAGACCCAGGTTGCTGTTCTCACCGGCGTAGTTTCTGCTGGATTGAGTGAGTTTGTTGTGACGGTGCGCTTGGCTCATGCGCTCTTAAAGCAATACCTGCAGACGTGACCGTTCTTGTCACGTGTGGATTCCAACCTTTCCCAGGAAGCGCCCTCTTGAGATAAACAACAGCGTTCTGTGGAATTCCGCTGAGCTGAGTGCAAACATGCATCTCACTTCCAAGTCTCGTTATCTAATCAAAGGGTTATAGCCTATGCGGGCAATATCATTGTGATTTACCAGTGAATGACATTTATATTTTGAAGAAATTGAAACATTGACCTTGTGAAATGTTTATGGGTATTGGAAAGTATGAATTGTCAGAGAGGCTGTTCAAAGGAGGGTTTTCTAAAACGCCCTGCCAAGCAGGGTAATTTATTTGCATTTACTATGAAAACATACAATGTCACACAAGATTAACTGAAGCATGGAAATTTTGGGCATTTGCTGTATAATCACACAAACGCACTCCCATCATCCTCATCATCATCCTCATCATTATCATCATCATCATCATCATCATCATCAGTTTGTCTTTTTTTTTTTTTTCCAAAGATGGTGCCAAGAAAAGAAGAGCAATAGAAAGGCGAATCTTCTGCTTTCAGATCATATTTCTGTTAAAACATTAGATACACAGTAGAACCATCTTTACTAAATGCAATGCACAACAGTAAATTATCAGCAATTATGTGAGCCTGGGCCATGGCCTGTCTGTGTGTTTGTCTGAAACACTCTGCCCAGCAAACACTAGACGTTTCCATGACAGACAAGCCGAGGCATCTCTATAAATAAAGAGAACAAAAACACAAAGAAAAAGGTTTTTTTTTTTTTTTTTTTTAAAAAAGAAAATAATATACAGAAACAAAATGTTGGTTCTCTTCATGTGTCTCCTCATTTGGACCTATATAGGGTGGTGCTATACTGGTCAGCTAAGCCAATTTTAAAAAAGGTACTGGTCTCTAGTTAACTTCCTGTGCACTGGGTTCACTGCTCGGCTCATGGGTTGACTGGAGAGAACATCTGGACTCCCATCAGACTCTGACCCTGTATCTGTAGCTCTTTCACAGTCTGACAGGCCAAGTTTGTGTTCTTATGCTGTTTTATCTACTTAAGAGATAATTGTCAACACCCCCGTTGACTGACAATTTGTATCACATTCCTGTATACTGATACTGTTGTATGCTGTCTTCAATTTGCCACTGATTGCTAATGAGCATATTGATATCATAATCAATAAAATCATAAATCAGGTCAACATGGACTGCGAGGTCTTTCCTGTGATGTTCAATTTGTGTTAAGAATGCAGACATATTCAATTCTTTGAATCATTTTTACAATTGGTGAAGTGATCTTTCAATTATGTGGTTAGATTTATCAGCCATGTCTATGCTCTGTTCGACTGAGTGAATTTTATTTTCTGGAGAGCAACACATTCCAAGGAAAACAAAACAACTTCCTCTTACATTTCCTCTTAGATCCAGATATACTACTACATACCTATTGCACAATAACGACTTCACCTGTGACGTCATATTAAAAGGTGAGAAACTGGTTCATAACTCCTCTACACGTTAATGAAAGCCATTGCCTGCTGTTTCGTGGAAATGTGTAAAACTCCAGCACCAAGACTTCAATTAAAGACCTGTTCTCCTGTTCTCTTAAATTTGAATACATGCAGCACTGCACAGCATTAAGACGCTCCCTGACCAGTCTGTAAGATCTGATGAAGGACCAGCAAAGACTGCGGGGGAAGAGATGGGCAGGGGGAGATCTACTTCAGGAATTATTTACTTAACTGTTAAAGAAGCAAGCTTTAATCAGTAATGTTTGTGATTGTGTATTTTAATCCACCTCAGTAAAGCCCATGTCTGTTGTTGTGACCAGCCCTCCAGCACGGTGCGATAAACTGCGACCTGTTTGCTTGTCCTCAGTTCTATATTTCCACAACCCATGAGCCAAGTTTGTTCCTACTGCTGACATAAACCTCTGAAGCACAGAGTGGATCACAACCGTTTTATTAAGCCCCTCCAATCCCCCGGCCCTACTGCCACTCCGTCACTGCCACCGAACCCAACCCCCTCCCCCCCTCCCCTCCTCAATCCTTCCTGTGTGGGTCGGCTTTGAGTTTCCATCTTCCAAAGTCCATGGTGGTGGTGGTTGTGGTGGTGGTGGTCGTGGAGGGTTTTAACCCAGGACTGAACATCCCTCCCCCACTTAGTGTGTTTATAGAATGTGGAGTCCATTAGCTGGCTCGCCTGCAGGGGGGAGCATCGGCGTACAACGCCGGCTCCTCTCACTCCTGAGCTATGCTCCTCAGCACGTACTTGACTGTGTAGGCAAACGCCGCAAAGCCTACAATCACAAACAGGTTGGCTAGAGCGCCACCTAGAAGTCCATGGTTGCGATTGGCCTGCTGCAGGCCAGGGGCGGGGTTGGCAGCCCCGAGCGGGACGGGACCTCCATTGAGGGCTGGGAGGCCATAGTGGGCATGTTGAGGGTCACCGTCGGGCACCACATCAGGTAAGGGGAGGGGCTGAGTGCGGGCGCTTAACTCCTCCTGGGCCTTCTGTTTCTGCTTCATCTCCTGGTGATGGGAGGGAAAGAGAAGGGGAAATATTAGGCCACCAAAAAGAAAAAAAGGAGAGAAGCAAATTGCAAGTTAGAGATCACCTCATACTTACATCCACTACATCAGGAAACAGCTCGCAGAACACTTTGTCCTTGAGGTTGAAGGCCAGACTTTGGGCTGACAGTTGTCTTTTCTGGAAAAAGAATAAAATGCATATTAAATGTCTGAGACGTCACAGGTCGTTCATGTCATTACTCAGCATTCATGATCACTTATGCAACCTCACCGTGTAGTCAGAGGTCTCGATGCTCCCGAGGGTGGGGCCCTTCTCGACCATGAAGCTGAGCAGACCCGTGAGGATGGTGGAGACGGACCATGCGGGGTTCCATGTGTCTGGATGGAAATCTGTGATGGACAAACATAACCTGTGGAGGAAACAGGCAAAGTTACAAAAAAGGGGAAAAGTGGAAAACAAGTTCTAAAATAACAACCAAAGCATTTTTCAAAAAGTCTTGAAATCCTGAATTTTAGCATTTCACCAATAAGAAACTACATTCTCACCTTGTATTACACTTAAATCTCCCATTTGGTGTTATCATATAGATACTTGGTGGTTTAAAGGGAAATTCCCGTGGAAATATGAGTTTTCCGTGATAATATCCTCCTAAAATAGAGACAAATATGATGTCACATGACAGATAACAAACTTAGCCAGAAAATGAGTCACTTCTTTCCATATCTGATATCACGTCTAAGCCACATAGATCAGCAAGTATAAGCATGTCAAAATGTGCCCGTTAACAGAAGCTACCAGAAGAGTAGGTGCTACTTCAATGTCAGGAGCTTTTACCTTCATATGGAGTTTTCTCAGGACCTCTGACTACATAGTGCCTAGAGAAGACAGGAAAGACGTGTGTTAGCCTGAGTCTGGGTTTTCTACTTCAGGCCCCTTGAAACAAACAAAGGGAGGATGCACATCACATGTTGGAGACAGGCAACAGCATATGACAACAGCATGGTTTCTAATTTTATCATTTTTAAACATTTTTCCTTCACGAAGATCCAACTGGGATCAAAACATCAAACAGCCAGCAGAAGAAAATTTAATTTAGGAATCATATCTCTGGCCAATTTCAGAACAGTTATAAATTCTATGGTAATTAACTTGATTGTTAACTGTCTCAGTTCTTAGCTCTTTTTATCCACTTTAGTATTGTTATTTATTTTTCGTGTCATGTTTAACTAACTTTTTTGTCCACAGACCTCCCTTGCATGAGATGTATGACCTCGACAGGACTCAATTGGTTGAATAAAAATGAAATAAAAATGAAATAAAACAATCTACAGTGTCAAAAAAAAGTATGCGAACCCTTTGGAATGACCTGGTTTTCTGCATTTATTGGTCATAAAATGTGATTTGATTATTCAACTAAGTCACAAATGTAGTCAAACAGTTTCCATAACAATGCTGTTTAGGGTCATTGTCCTGCTGCATCACCCAACTTCAGCTTCAGCAGGTGGTTAGCCACCCTGACATTATCCAGGTATCTTGCTGGATAAACTTGGGAATTAATTTCCCCCTTGAAGATGTCTAGCTGTAAATAAATAAATCTTAGTTTCATCAGTCCATAAAACATTTTTCCAGTAGTGTTGTGGACTGTCAACCTGCTCTTTGGCAACCTTCAGGGGCGCAGTGAAACTTTTCCTCTGTGGTATCCATGGCAAGACAACATGCTCCATGCAAGAGATATTGTCCGGCTCCAATGATTCTTCTAAGCAATTAGCAGTTGCTCTGAGGTTCACATAATTTTTCCAGTCTACACTGTGAATGTTTGAATAATGTTTTCAGTGCGGAAAAGAAGAGTACAATGATTTGTGTGTTATTTGTTATTCTTTGTTAAAATAGATTGTGTTTGTTTATTATTATGACTTGGATGAAGATCAGACCATATTTTAAGACAAATTTGTACACAAATGAAGGCAATTCCAAATAGGTCAAAGATGGAAAATGCCAGAACACCATTAAACACACACTACATGTAACTAATAGTGAGGTGAATCATAGATTAAGGTGCACAAATAAGCAGCTTGAGGTCTTGCGTTATCTAAATTTCATGTCCCGTTTTCAGTCCCGGAAAATCAACAGCATTTTTCAGGTGTGTCATCGATTGTAAAAATAAATATAGTTTGAACAAAGAGGGTAGGTTAAAGCAAACACTGGCATTTTAGTTAACAAAGTCATAACTTATAAAGGTATCAGTGTAATGAAGGTATAACCAGCATATGAACAAATATGTAGAGTGGCTTCAGAAAGTACTTTTTGTACACTTTATTGTGTCGTACATTTTATTTCAAATGGATAAAATTACCATTAAATATGAGATTTCAGTTTATGATTGTTAATAAATTTGCAAAAGGGGTTATCCCATGCCCACGCAGAATTTAGAACGTTTCCTTGTTCATGTCAAAAAAAAAAAAAAAAAAAAAAAAAAAAAAAGTCCTAGGTGAGTTGGTGGAATGACCCAAAAACATGTACTTACTGAGTGTAGATGGATGGGCAAAAATGGGAATTTAATAAAAATGAAATCTGCAACAAAACAAAATGTGCAAGAAGCAAAGAGACTGAATACTTCAAACCACAAAAGGAACCAGGAAGAAGGCTAACCGATGAATCATGGTAGTGACACTAAACTGCTTTCATGGGTCAACATGTACTGCAGGATTTTATATCATGTTCTCTTAAGTAATCTCCATGCATGCCAACAGATATTCCCTGACTAAATGACTAAATGTTTAACTTTTATTATGATATCTTTACTGCCTATCTATAACTAGTTACATAACAACAACTTTAATGGATTGTGTACAAAAATGTGCTTAGATTATTCATTATTTATAGATGATCTTTCAAGTCATCATGTTTTTTTTAAATCAGATTTTCATTGAAAAACTTACAACTCCTACAACCACACGCTGTGGGAGCTGGTTAATATTAAAACATGAAACCACTCTTTCCAGTTAATTTGGCTGTTCAATAAAACAAACTGATAACAGTATTCATGGGAACTACTGTCTTTTGAGGAGGAAATTTCAACATAGTTATCAGCATGGTTTACCAATACTAAATCTGAATATACATGTTTCAGTTGAATTTTCTTATGTAATTGGTCAATTCTGTTGGCACTGATTGTCTCAGAGACAGATGTCTTGAAACTTATATTTTTATATAATTGTTGGGGTTTTTAGAATTTAATATGTTTTTTGTGTCAGAGCTGGTTGATGTTTTAAAAACAAAGGCCTTCTCAGGATGAACACCTTACCATTCTAGGATGTTGGAGGGGAGAGGTTCTGCACAGATGTAAGGCACAGGGTCTTTCTTTATCCTGAGGTAATCCTGCTTAAGTCGCTGAGTGGCTGTGGTTGGAGCTCTCTTATTCCCGTTGTTGTTCATCTGAGGATTTAGAGGACATGCAAAAGAGAGAAACTACAATTTATCTTGGTATCTCTGGTCTTGAAATTTGTTAGTGTGGTAACACTATCAGGTTGTATTCCATTGCAATACTAGACCAAAGTGTATCCTTCCTTTACTGCAGACATTTCAACTGATCTTTCAGAAAACTCATGTTGTGTTCATGCTGTTGTGAGTGTGTGTCTAAACAGGCTCTGTGTACACTGCTTCACCTCAGTTGTTCCTGATATTTGGCAAAACTTCAAAATGCAGAGAATAAATATATATATTAGTATGATTGACAAGTGATTTTTTTAGAACAGCTATTTTACAGATACTGTCAACTGATTGGTGACGGGGATTTGTGGGGACTTCGTAGAGACTGAAGATAGTAATTAGGGGTCCTCTTACCACAGTACTGTGTACTGAGTACCTTGATACTGCACTTAACAACAACAAACATTAAGGAAGACTACTGCTGTTAGGAGTAAGATTTTTAATTTAATGCAAGAGGTAAGCATGGTTGTAATGACGTATCTATATATTACTTTTTAATTGCTCAATGGATTGTTTAGTCTGTAAAATGCCAATAAAAGACTGACTCACTATCAAAAGTCCAAAAAAAAGTCAATTTACAAAGATTTAGAAAAAACAGACAAACAGCAAAATCTCACATCAGGAAGCTGTAGCCAGCAGATCCGTGTTTCTCACAAATGCCACCGATTCATTTTATCAGTTCAACCTATTGGTAAATATTTTTTCAATGCGTTGCAGAATCAGGTGGCAGTCAAATAATAATCTGCAAAGTTATCAAATAAATGCAGCTATTGAAAAGCCCAACATTAATGTAGATTTAAGAATATTTATTATACCTCCTGGTTCTGTTAATATACTGTTACCAATGTAACACTTAAATGTATCTATCCAATTTTTTTTGTCTTAATTTCTTTTTATGTCTTATGTGACTTGTTGATATAAACTTGCCATGTCGACTCAAGTAAAATATTACAGTATTTCAATTTAAAACTTAGTGGAGCTCAAGTATTAAGTATTAAAAGTGAAATACGAAAAGTACTGATGTTTTGAGACTGTACTTTGCTACATCTTTGGGCCACACGACGTGGATTTAAATGTACTTTTAACTGGCTCTCAACCTCAACCTACTGAACTCAAGACAACTCCACTATTTGCCATCTGGCCTGCTGTCATGCGGCTAACAGCTGACATGTACTCGCTGCTGAGCTGAACTGTGACAGAGTTGAAATGATTTCAGCATCACTTCCTCATAAATGACAGGTTACTCAACGCAACTTGTGTTTTAGCTGAGGCTAATCCGCTCCTTGACGAGCTATGCTACTGTTAAATCTCTTTCTACCTGAACAGATCGTTAAGTTAGATAGACAGCAGACAGTCCCTCGACCACCGACAGTAAACAAACAGAGCAGACCAGCTCCAAACTGCAGCACAGCAGCATATTTTTAATTCAATAATCACAGCGTTATTGGTGCTGTCCGCTCAGGCAGGCTAACTGGACCCGGATAAAGCTTACAGGTACACTGGTCGCTGTGTTAGCCACCGCCGGCTAACGTTAGCTAGCCTAGGCCACAGCTATGTTTAGCTACCTGGCGTTAGCATCCACTAGCATAAACAGCTCTGTTATTAACGAGAGCGGAACCCCGCGTCTTCCGTATTTGCCAACCAGAGGGCTTGTAGCACAGACATACCTCTCCAGAGACCCCAGTGAAAATGGGTATTCGTGGCTGGACACGAAATAAGGGTGTTGTTTCTGTTGTCAAACCCCCAAACCGATAAGACGATGACACCGACGTAGCTTTGGCTCTCACCAGCAGCAGGAGAAGTGACGCTTCCGGTTTTCTTCTTCATTTGTGTTAAAGCGGTTAAAAACGACTTATCAAGCGCACTACTGTCACGAGCTGATCTGGAATATCACGTCTAATTGTAATCTCTCAAAAAGTCCAACAATATCTAATAGCCCTGCAAATTCTTAATAATCATAATACAGATACATACATTTGTATTCTAGTAATCAAGACACAATTGGCACATTACAAAGTCGTCTGTGTCTGCATCTTCTCTTCATTCACCTACACGTCTCTCTGGTGCTTTATGTTACTGCATAAACTTTGTTGCTCTTATATTTGTTTTCCAAAGTTTAAAAAAAAACAAATTGAGATGCACAAAAACATTCCAGAGGGTCTTTTACTCGCAATTTATTTTATTTCTGCAACCAGTTGCAAAACACAGTTTGAAAATTTGCAGTTGACAAAATGAAATTATTCAAAACAGTAAAGGGGCACTTCACTGATTTTAAACCTCAGGCACAGTTTACTCATCACAGAGAGCACAATGGCATCTGTGGAAACATTTGTGCAGATTATTTTGGCTTTGGCCCAGAGATTACAAATTTGTGGAGTGGAGTTTAAAAGACATGGGCATTTACCACTCAGGGAGGATCTGGCAAAATACACTATTGTGTTAGGCTACATAGCGGCAAATTAAAAATAGAGTTTGGTGCTTGACTCATACTTAAGAGTATGAGTAGTGTTGAAGACTTGTTAAATATGTCTCCTTCATCTTTATTGAAGTGCAATACTTAAGTGTTGGAGTGCCCCTTGAAAAACAGCTGATGTGTCCAAAGATCTTCTGACATGCTAGGACAACCTGGTGTCAGGTCAACTGAAGTAACACTTGTTCAAAGGAACTGTTTGAACTAAATAACATTTTTGACAAGACCAAGGTCTGTAATCTTGGCCTTATTGACTTAATTTATTTACAAAATAAGCTGAGGACAATAACAAGCCAGTTATGAAATAGTACTTGCTAGGTTTTGACCATTTGCTTACACTTGCAGCACTCACTCCCTAGAGTAAAATGTCTCTTTTAATGGCATTAAATGCCTCCCTTATGATTCCAAGGTCACTGAAGAGTGGTCAGTTGAAGTGGTGGTCAGCGGTGGCCACTATGGCTCCTGGCAGCGGCTGAAGTGTACACTCCTTCTCCTCAACTTCTCGGGCTGGAGAGACGCGAGGAGAGAAAACTCGCGAAAGACATCAATATAGGAGACGTGACCTGCAACAGGGGACACTTAAGTCAAGGGGGTGGGGTTGTCGTAGGCACTGTGGAGACTGCGGTAACCAGTGTGCTGGGTTTTGCTTTCCTTTAAGTGATAAACACACCAAACCATTTTAATGCCATAAAATACAGGAAATAAGCCAGCAAATAATGTAATCTCCAGCAACGCACATTCAACTATTCAGGGAGAAAGACAGAGCAGATAAACCTCTGCTTTATGCACCCATGAAAGAGCAAAGCCCCCCAAAAGCATTGCCTCAAGATAGAGTGAAGCTCCTTGGTTTAGTTTGGTGGTACATAGATGCCTATTCCTTCAGGAAAATAAAAGTGATTCATTCTTCTATAAAGCATCTGTTGTTTATACAAGCAAATCCTTTGTCGCTGCCAGATGCTTAAGCTGTATTTTATGCATTTTTTTTTTTCAAAGAATACAGAGATGGGAGTTTCGGTTCATTTGCAGAACAGAAAATTAGTAACTTAAAGGGATAGAGTGGTAAGCATCCTGTCCATTTCCCTCCCACATCATCCTGGAATCCTTTGCCTTCTCATATTCAGGTCACTACCAAGTGATATGTGGATTCATGTGCTTACTGGTCTAATTCACATTTAACTGTAATATACTTACCCATTCTCTGTGACCTAGTTCCCACCATACATTGGATGTTTGAAAATTCTTTTGAGGTATAAACTGCAAATTTCCAAATGTATGTGGATAGCACATTATAGCTGAGTCTTGGGACATCTTATTAAGACACAATACTCCTCAACAGAATATTTCTGTGTCCTTCCAAATGCATCATTTCTCCCCAAGAGACAAATAAGATTCACAATATCAAAACGGCTTCAAATATTTTCCCAGAGAGAGGGAGTGTGTCTATGACAGAAAGGGAAACAGATCAGGACACCCTACAGATCACCCGCAACCACCAAAGCAGAGAGAATCCCAGTATCACACTAGTCCCTCTAGTAAGGCGGCCCAGGAGGCTTCACTCACTCTATCCCGAACATCCTTGGGTTTAACTCTCCGGCTGCCCATGGCAACCCCTGTGGTAACAGAAGCAATGATATGTCAGTCAGTGTTTATTTCCTCAAATGGACACGTGTTGTTTACATTTAGTGTAAGGTGACGAATTAGGCATTTCTGGCATGTGAGAACAAATTTTTTCAGTGATGGTGTAACAATGCTTGTGAAACCACACAAATGTTTTACACACTGGAGACACTGAATTATTCAAGGCACAGTGTTGCTGCTGCAGGCTAGAAATGGAAGCACTTTTTAATACCCATAAGATCCTAAACACTAAAATGATCTTAAACTTGTGTGCTGGCAGTGTGGACGTGTCCATGTGCACACCTTAGTTACAGTATATTTGTTGGCAGTAAGATATCTGGTTTATTGCTTTGAATAAGCCAAGTGCTACCCAAAAGTTTGTTATAGACCAAAAGACACACCAGACCAGATTGTGAAAAATACTATTCTCCCAACATCTGGCAATATTTCAAAATAGACAGATACCTAGAAATGAAATCTATCACTATTTTATTAATTGATCATTTAGAATTTTCTATAAACTATATGAAATATATTGCTGCAATGTTGAGAGAACGTCACACATAAGAGATGAGACAGGAAACAGAAATGAGAGCAACAAGCAGGAAGCAGGGTTAGTTCATCAAGAGTTTCTCAGTTTTATTGTATGCATTTTGTTTTTTTGTTTTTTTTTGTCCCCTCAGTGCTTCTAAAGACAAGGAAGAAAGTATTCCAAAGATATCCAAATGTCAGTGAACAGAAGAAGTAGAGCAGCAACTGTGTTAAAGTTCTGCCTGACAAGTTTTTTGTGGAAGAGAATAAAAAGACAAACATAAAACAGATCAGACAGGATCCGTGATTGAATGCTGAGAGGCAGGCAGTTGGCTTCGAGTCAAAATACACAAGTGTACTATTTACAGCATGTTTGCTTTGAACAGCACCTTTAACCAGTCCTATGTCAATACACACAATGGACACAACATTTAATACTTCCACCGGGGCGTGGGCCCTTAACAGTTTGGTCACAGTAGCTTCACATCACCCTCTAGACTTATTCTACTTGCAGTACATCAAACTATTGCAGAATATCACCTGCCATATCAAAATCTCTCTGGTCAGTCATATTTCTGTAACCTCTTTTGAACACGTGAGTACACCAACAGTGTTTCTACCACTCTGTCACTTCACAAAGCATGGTAAGACTATGCTGTATCTACTCTGAACAGTTTCAGTAAAAAAAAAACAAAACAAAACAAAACAAAAAACGTGATATCATACATCAATGTCAGACACTTTCCCTTTAAAAAGTCTTTGGCAGAGGAAAATAAAACCACAACATTAAAAAATTTAATCAGAATTGCTGTTTGTAAGTTCTGGTGGACACAAACAAACAAAAAAAAGACAGGAATGACGAAGTCACCACAGATTTGGTCCGTGGATGGAAGATTGGCACAGAGGTGCAAAAAGGAAGAAACTTCTGACACCAGAGGGGTCATGGTGGTACATGCTTACTCCACAGGACTGCACTGCACAACATGATCAAACCATAGAAAATTATTTCATCATGCTCATAATGCTAACGATGTTGAACTTCCCAAAAATAATTCTGGCAAAGCATGCAGAGAATACTGTTAGCGATGACCAGTGAGGGAAGCCAGAAATATATGTCCTTTGACCCCACAAGCGTGTACAATAAACTGCTCTAAAGAAATGTGCTCCATGTTCTCACCACAGATACTGTCATAGGGATAAGTATTTACAACAAAACTGAGGTGTGGTTATATACTCAGAAGTCGCCTTTGTTCTGTAAACGGCAGTAAACAGACGACTTGTTCAATGGTGAGATGTAACTCCAGTTTTATTCACTCCCTCACTGCAAAACTGCTCTGTTTGTCTGCAAATCACCTTCACAACTTAGCAACTTCTCATCCTCACTAGTAACTGACAAATGACTGCTATTAATTAAAAGATAAACTGTAACTACAATTTCCATAGTAAAGCCAGTAAAATCTCTTTCAGTGGTTTGTTTGGATGCCAAATAATTGTACTCATAGCAATCTAAGGCCATTCTAAAGCAAAAATGAAAGCAAATCGTCCTTCATGAGTGCTGTTACATGATGCAATGTAAAGACTTCCTGTCATAAATTCCAAGTAATGCTTTCAGACTAAAATGACAATCATTAACAGAAATGCAGACGAAAACTGCACCCAAGTATGCATTGCACTGGTCCTCTGGGGAGATAGACATAAATTAAAAAAAAAAAACAAACCAAAAATAAAATAGACAATAGATAGATATACAACAGCTTGAGCAGACAAGAACAATATAAAAAAGTCACACTAACTGAATGAAAATAAAAATTATAATACTGTAGATGGGAAAAGTGCACAGTTTCTTTTTTTTTCCTTTACATAATGTAACATAATATCATATTATTTAACTCTGTCTCTCAGTATTCTTTGACACATGCACTCATTTATTCTCCTGTTCACTCACTCACTCACTCATCATGTCACAAAGTATCTTAGAAAGCAAGCGAGGGTCTCTTCCCCACGAGCCCTTCAGTATTTTTGTCACAGTTTTACATTAAATTTCCCTTCCTGACCCCTCTTTATACACAGTAAACTACCCTGCCCACCTCTACTGTAGCTTCTCAGTTACTCTTTTTTTCTTTAAGTAATGGAACAAATACCATTTTCTTCACCTCATGCCACAGCACATAGTTAAAAGAAT